AAGCCTTTTTATTATATCCTTACTCTGTCCTAGACATTGAGTTCTACCTGGATCCTTCCTCTTGGAAATTTTTTTTTTCTGAAAATATACATGTATGGGAATTTTTAGATATATTTTTCATATGTATGTATATTTTCCACTAATATTATCTATATATATATATATATATATATATATTGATAAAATATAGTTTTAAGGTATGCCATATTTATGAGTTAAAATGCACAATATCAGAGACAGAGCGTATATAAATATAAAAGTGGACATTGACGTCAACACACAGAGGCGACAGTCTGTTTCATGCTGAAACGCAATCGTCACCTCTGGGTGTTGACTTCAATTTTCAATTTTGATTGTATATATATATATATATATATATATATATATATATATACCAGTCAATGGCGAGTCTAGATCATCAGTCTTACTCGGGGGAAAACTCGTCGCCAGTGGATGGGTTATCCCCGCTACCAGAAAATCACGATCCTTCCTTGCGAATATGATGGGAAAAGATTTTAATGTGCTAATCTTACTATCCCCTCCAATCCAAAGGGCGCCCTCTTACTCAAAACACTCTGGCGATCGGCTTGTTCTGGTTCATCAAAATTTTAAAGAAAAGTTACCAATTTTTATCTTAGCTTCTAAGAAGAATTTTAGCCTGTAACTGAAATCTGTCGAAATATAGGTATCTCGAATTTTCAACGCGAACATTTGGCACCTGAGTAAAACAAGATCTGAATCATATATAAAACTTTTATAAGTGTTTTGTGTATTTATGTTTATGTTTTATTGCTATTTGAGAAGTCGGGTTTGTCATATAATTTTCGTTAAAATTATCTTAAATTAGTCTCATTCCATATAAATGCACGCGTAGTTTAATTCTAAGTCGATATTTCTAGCCTTATTTTTTAATGTATTTGTGCATATGTCTATGTTCTAGCGTATCTCTTTCTCTCTCTTTCTCTCTTTCAATCTGTCTTTATCTTTTTCTCTTAGAGCATGAAGTAAAAAAAAAGCTAAAAAAGAAATTTTAAGAAAATTAAAGAAATTCGAAATGTATTTATTTATTCTGTCCAAGCGAACTAAAGTGCAAATGATGAGGTCTACAAGATCTTTGTTGCTTTCAAACAGATATCCTCCACACTTTACTCAGCCCGACTAGACGGAGTCGTTACTGATATACGTATATATTATCGTGTGGATGCTGTAATAGATATTAAGAGACTGTGATAGATAGATAGATAGATAGATAGATAGATAGATATGAAAAGATTTTGATAGATAGATATGAACAGACTGAGATAGATATGAACAGATTCAGATTGATAGATAACTGATAGATAGCTAAGAACAGTCTGAGATAGATAGATAGATAGATAGATAGATAGATAATGAACAGACTGAGATAGATATGAACAGATTCAGATAGATAACTGATAGATAGATAAGAACAGTCTGTTAGATAGATACATATGCAATATATATATATATATATATATATATATATATATATATATATATATATAGAGAGAGAGAGAGAGAGAGATAGATAGATAGATAGATAGATAGTAATTAGTAGGAGGATTTGATAATTATATTTAGTTAATTCATCGAGTCTGATAGAAACCTCAACAGAATGCAGAAAGCACTGGTCGGCCGTTTCGTCCTATATTTGGGACTCATCAGCAGTGCGCATCCACAGTCCTATGGTTACAGATAACTCAGTTGAGTTCCGCCACGGAATATGTGAGCGAGGGGCGCTAAGTTGAGTCTGATTTGGAATCTCTTCGTCACCGAGGCCCATTTGGAACAGTTGGTATGATGTTTGCTTGACAACCTAACTGTCAGGGTTTCAATTCTTGGTAGTGGATGCCCACTGCCGATGAGTCCCAAATATAGGACGAAACGGCCGTCCAGTGCTTTCTGTATTCTGTTGAGGTTTCTATCAGACTCGATGAATTACTTAAATATATATATATATATATATATATATATATATATATATATATATATATATATATATAAACTTGTCTATTATTTAATGAAACATGCATCAATGTATATATATATATATATATCAAACATCTTTCATTGGATACGGCCAACAAGGAAGATTTAATTAACTTTTTATTAAGGTTTGCCAGCATTTTTAGGTTTTATAGAAGCAATGGGGTTCAATATTGTCTATAATATTTATTGTCCCAAGCACTGTCGGACACTTATATAGCCATTTTCAAGTGTGTTTTGCCTTTGGTGTTGTTATTTTTTCCTCATGTTTTGACTGTTACGTTGTAAATAATGAATGTGTTATTTTATTTTTGAAAAAAAAAAAAAAGCATCGTTTATTCCAAGCTCTCACTTGCCGCGCACGATTGGAATTCGCGTTTTTTATTTTTAAAAATATTCAACTCTTCATTTACAGGATTAAATAATGTCAGGTTGATGATAGGAAAGAATTGTTTTATATGTAGGGGCCTCTGGAATAGTAAAATGTTTCTGATAATGAGACTTATATAGAATTCATATATTTCCGACCAGAATTTTCTCTTGTAGGTTAGGGATTAATAAATTTACAGTTAACTGGACGAAAATAATACGGTTCTTGGATGAATTTAAAACCAATCATTCGACCAGCCACACACACACAACTACACATTCATTCAGTCACGGTAATAATTACTAACTCATAATAATTAATAACACACTCGAAAAACGAAGTGTCTCGCATCCATCAGAGAGGAGGGTCAATTAACCTAAAGAACAAAAAAGCAGGAGCCTCCCTCAATAAATTTGATTTAACTTTGTGACATTGTCGTCATTAAAAAAAACGCCAGAGGAGGGAATGTACTAAAGGCATCATTCGCTTCCTCTTGCATAATCCATATCTGTTAAGATCCTTGTCCTGATCGGGCCACAGTTAGGACCCTTTTAGAGTTTGGGAACTTTTTTGGTTTTTCTACATTCTTGGAGTTGACTTTCTTAAAATTCCATCAATATTTTAGTTTTTTTATCTTTCTTTTTGATTTAAGAACTTTTACGCTTGCTGCCTCGACACTCGACATACATCTTCCCCAATTGGTTTCGATATAATTTTTTTTCTCGTAAGAAGGTTCTCTGGTGTAAGATGAAGGGCTACGCTACCTTTTCGTTGATCCAGTTTCTTTGTGAGAGAATTTATGAGTGTAATGGAAATGTTTGAAGCTGTCGCCTTTATTTTTGTTCGCGATTTTGTAGACGGAAGCTTTTTGAGAGTTGCCATCTTGGAACGTGGGATGGAGTCAGTTTTTTGTTAATGGAGCTGGTGCCAAGATATGCTTTTTAATTAAAGGGGAAGACGGTGCCGAGGAAGAGGTATCCATCTTTCACCCTGCTGGACTCTCCTTGTTTTTAAGGATTTCTTTGCTCGTTCTGGTTTCTCCTTCTTTTCAGAACTTGGTTCGTACTTGAGCCGCTGATTCCTGATTTTTTTCTGCGTGTCTTGAAACTGGTCGAGACAGTAGGATTGTACGTCTCTTTATCCATGGGAGCTTCCGGAGACAGAGATCCCGCAGTCCAATGCATCACTCTGGTTTTGCCAATGTCATCCATTCCCTCTTTTCCTTCTCAGGGTCCGCTCAAGCGGCTGGTAGGGTCCTTTTCGGAAAATGGGGGACGCGCCTTGGACTTAACCGGGGCAGACCTGATATTAACTATTTTGACTAAATTTAGCTTAGTTGATCTAAAAAGCAAATGGGGACGAGTAAGAAAAGAGTTATCGTCTTTGAAAATTAAGCAATTGAAAAATGGCTAATTACACACTTTTTCAAATTAATCATACGGGATGATATGGAGGGCCATGATCACCTACGCCCTTGAGCAAATTAATTGAAACAAAAGGTATAATTCCGTTATTATTTACTTTTTTTCGTATTTTTCCACTGAAACATGACCCAGTGCATATGTTAGTGCTTCATATGTCCATTATACGAAGACATTCCTTGCAGATTGACCACAGATTCTCGGCTGGATTTAAATCAGGAGAGTTTCCGGGCTAGTCTATGGTACTTTGATTTGCTCACTGGTAAGGCTTTCCAATGTGCTTGTACGCGTCCTTGGAGTAACGTCTATCGAATACAATAGCGGTAGGACAACTAATCGACAATCGAGGCAATAGTGTCTGAGCGTGATAAAACTGATGCAATCAATGATGACGCAATATTTTTCAAAACCAAACATATTTCATCATACACCATCAAAATAGATTCATATTATTGCACACCAAAGCAAAGACATAACCTGTGGAAAAAATAGAAACCGATTACACCCTGTCACTCCAGTGGGTGTAAAACTGACCGTATGGTGAAAGAAAGGAAACTAAAGAAGTTGTTTCAATTAATTTGTACAAGAGTGTATTTGCGCTCGAACACAGATTTCGGGTATGTTTCAGAAATACATAATTAACAACGCTACCGAGAAAAGCCAAGTCTGTGTGAATATCACCGAATAAATCTCTTGGATTGTCATTATTGGATGTACGCCGAAGATGTGGAATATTCACTAACTGTGTATCGTTGCAAAATCTCATTTTTAATGTATTTTTCGGTTATTCTCGCGATATTTACGATGGCATTATTTACAATGCCTACGTTCCTGGAGAAAATATTTCATTCTGTTTTACTTGATTTTGCGTTTGATTTAATATACGTGTTCTTATTTTATTTTCATTTTACCCTTATCTATCTATCTATCTATCTTAGCCTGTTCCTATCTATCTATCTATCTATCTATCTATCTATATCTATCTATCTAGTTTAAAAAGATAGAAATAGATGTCAATATATATATATAGTCTCATTTTACCCTTGAATGCGAATAGATATCTATGAAGATAGAGAATGGAATCTGGAGATAGATCTATCTATCTATCTATCTATCTATCTATAGATATCTCAAATTTTAAAAAGAGAAATAGATATATCAATATATATATATATATATATATATATATATATATATATATGTTATTTATTTAGAGAGAGGGGGAGAAGGGGCTTATTTAATCTGGAGAATGAGAAAGAGAGATAAATAGATATGAGCAGATTGAAATGAAAAGAAAAATGGACAGACCTGAGATAGATAGATAGATAGATAGATAGATAGGAACAGGCTAAGATAGATAGATAGATAGATAGATAGATAGATAGATAGATACAAGTAGACAGAGAAAAATAGATATGAATGGACTGAGATAGATAGATAGATAGATAGATTTGTGTTCGTTTTTGGATAGATAGAATGTTGCCTGGTTAAAGAAAATTTAAAGTCTATGTTGCGCTTTTGAGGAAGACAAATTGAAATTGATAGAAAGAGATAGCAATTCCATTCTTATGCCAAATAGATAGATATTTAGATAGAAGATAGATAGAAAGCAAACAATGAGAGAGAGAGAGAGAGAGAGACAAAGTCTTTTCTATGAAGTCAGGGAAGACAAATTGAAATTGAGGAATAGCAATATTTAGACTGGGATAGATAGATAGATAGATGGATAGATAGATAGATTGAAATTGCCTGAGACACCTTAGAGAGAGACAAAAAAGAAAACTTAAGAAAGAAATCAGAATGCATAAAAGAAAGAAAAGAAATCCAAAAACATATAGAGCATACATAGATACAGAGATTATTAATCTGACAGAGAAAGAGAGAGACAAAAAGAAAACTATAGAAAAATAGCAATGGGTAAACTGGGATAGATAGATAGATAGATGAATAGATATAGATGAATAGATAGATAGATAGATATTGCCTGAGAGAGAGAGAGAGAGAGAGAGAGAAAAGAAAAGAAAGAAAGAAAAGAAAAGAAAAAAAAAGAAAAGTAGACTGGGAAAGAAAAGATAGTCTATACTGCAAGTTAATAATGAGAGGAAGACAAAGAGACAAAAATTGATAGAAAGAAAGAAAGAAAGCAAATTCAGTAGACTGGGAAAGATAGAAATGAAGTCATAGATCAGATAGATAGAAAGGAATTGTAGATAGATAGATCGGCTAAGATAGAGAGAGAGAGAGAGAGAGACAAAGAGAAGAAAGAAAGAAAGAAAAAAGAAAGAAAAGAGAAAGAAGAAGAAAAAGAAAGAAAGAAAGAAAGAAGTCTACAAGTTAATAATGAGGAAGACAAATGTTGATGTGTTGTTATCTGAGTAGATAGATAGATGATTTAGAAAGAAAGATATCTGATAGATAGAAGATAAGCCTTTCAAGTTAAGAATGAAAGAAAGAAAGAAAAGAAAAAGAAAGAAAGAAAGATTTATTTTAAATTAGAAAGAGATAGCAATATCAGTAGACTGGGATAGATAGATAGAAGATTAGATAGATAGATATTGATGAAGAGAGAGAGAGAGAGAGATGCTTTGAGAAAAGAAAGAAAGAAAGAAAGAAAGAAAGAAAGAAAGAAAGAAAGAAAAGAAAGAAAGAAGTCTATAGATAGTTAATAATGAGGGAAGACAAATTGAAATTGATAGAAAGAGATAGCAATATTCAGTAGACTGGGATAGATAGATAGATAGATAGATAGATAGATAGATAGATAGATATTGCCTGAGAGAGAGAGAGAGAGAGACAGAGAGAGAAAAGAAAAAGAAAGAAAGAAAGAAAGAAAGAAAGAAAGAAAGAAGTCTATACTGCAAGTTAATAATGAGGGAAGACAAATTGAAATTGATAGAAAGAGATAGCAATATTCAGTAGACTGGGATAGATAGATAGATAGATAGATAGATAGATAGATAGATAGATATTGATAGAAAGAAGAGAGAGAGAGATAAGATAGAGAAAGAAAGATATTCAGTAGACTTAGAGATAGATAGAAAGAAAGATATTGCCTGAGAGAGAGAGAAAGAAAGAAAAGAAAAAGAAAAGAAGAAAAGAAAGAAAGAAAGAAAGAAGTCTATATGCAAGTTAATAATGAGGAAGAAGATGAAATTGATGAATGATAGTGTGTGGGTAGATATGATAGTTTGATAGATTATTGCCTGAGAGAGAGAGAGAGAGAGAGAAAAGAAAGAAAAAAGAAAGAAAGAAATGCTTTGTTGAGGAAGACAAATTTGTGTAAATTCGTCTGGGATAGATAGATGAAATTCCATTCTTATGCCAAATAATGTTATTTAATTTTTTTGAAATTGAAAGAATAGCAAACATAAGATAGATAGATAGATAGAGATAGATAGATAGATAGATAGATAGATAGATATTGCCTGAGAGAGAGAGAGAGAGACAAAGAAAGAAAAGAAAGAAAAGAAAGAAAGAAAGGAAAGAAAGGGAAAAGAAAGAAGTCCTGAAGTTAATAATGAGGGAAGACAAAGATACAGTAGACTGGGATAGGAAATAGATAGAGGATAAAGAGCAGAAGAAAGAAAGATGCGAATATGATTTAGATAAAATTGATAGAAATATATAATATTCAGTAGACTAGATAGATATAGATAAGATAGATAAATAGATAGATATTCATCAAATGGAAATTGAAGATAG